CAGCGGCGGGCGAGCGGGCGACGGACGGGCGGCGGCTTAGATGAAAAAACGGAATCTCAAAACATATTTTTGGTGTTTTAAAAAAAGCGTTTAGTTTTTGGATTTTGTAAAGGGTCAAGTCAAAAAATCGCTCCGGTTGCCAAACACGTTTCATTGTTAAAAAAAAAAAACGAAAACGGTAAAAACGCCATGGTTACTAAACGCTCCCTTAAATTGTGATATATTGTGTTACTTTGTATCTGTGATTTTTTTTGTGCTTTTAATTGTTCATAATCATTGTGAATTGTCATATTGCTCCTTTTTATCCACAAGTTTTTATTATTATAGCATCTTTTAGTTTGTGGCATACTTTTCGTATGGGATTCATAGAATAAGGTATTTTCTAGTAGCATTATTTTGATAGAATATTTGTAAAGTATGTTTTTCTCATACCAATGATATTTACTTCTATATCATTATGTATCACAAATAAATAATGATTTTGGATAAGCACTATTCTACATTCTTTTCTTAGTTCCAAGTCTTTTGGACATTTGCTAATTCACGAGTAAAAAGGTATCAGTTGGGAGAGTTCTTTGTTTTTTTGGCATCTGCCTAGCAACACTTTAAGTCATTACCTAAGATTGGCAATAAATTTGGCTCCCACTTGGTCTCTCTAATTAATCCAAATTTATGGTAGTCACTGCCCATATTTCTTTAGCAAGGAAAGGGACGTATGATGAAAAGGATATTTTTTTCTTTGCCACCAACTGTTACCTGCAATTTTTTTGTGTAAACCTCTCTTAAGTAAAAAAGAGTCAGTAGCAACATTGAGTTTGGGTCACTGTTGGTTGTATTGAATTGTGTTGGGTTGTATTAGGACAAAATTGCATAATTCAAAGGCAACATGTTAGGCTTAGAGTTTTCTCAACCGTAGCTGATTTCTTAGAGTTGGTTTTAGATCAGGACCCTCAAAGCTTGATTGAATTGGGGTAATATGATTTTGTGTCGACGGAGATTGTGAACCATGAGTTAAACATTTTTATTTCAGTGCCAATTAGTCACAGACTGGATTTCCATATAATATCTGATAATCGAGTTATAAGCTAATAAACAAAGAATAATTTCCTTCCATTGTTTTTGTAAAAAGCCATTATATATTTGTAGATTGCGTACTTTTCGCTCATGTATAGGTTACAAAAAGGATGTTGACCTTTTTTGGTTAAATTACACTTGTGGAATATGTTGTAATATGTTCATATGGAACTCAAAAGGTTTTTCACGGCTCTTCGCACTGATAGTTTAGAATGCTTGCACATTTGTCCTTGTGCTATTTTTCTTAAGATGGGTCACATGATAACCAAATGACCATTGTCTCCATACATTTCCCTTCTCTTCCCCCTCCCCCCATCCCTGCTCTCCCCCTCTCTCTTCTTTTCCTCCCCCATCCCAACCCCCACCCTTGGCGTCAAGCTTCTTTCTAGCTCTCGTTCTCGTTCTAAGCTCTACCGTCTTTCTCATTATAAGACTTTTCTTTCTCAAACCGTATTTTTGTATCTCTCTCTAATAAGCTCTATGGATAAAACCTTCTCTCTAAAGTCTAACCTTCCTCTTACCATCTTTCTTGCTCTAACCTTCACGTCTCTATCACTCTCTTAACTTTGTTTCATGTTCTAAGTTCCTAATGTATTTTTCTCTCTAATCATCTCTTTCCACTAACTTTGTTCTATTTACAGAAGTGTTCCAAGAAGCAGGCAGGGAGGCTATCTCTGGCGCCCATATGTTATGTGATAAGCAAGGTTTTAAATACCGGTTATCGGAAATATATCGAACGACTAAAATTCATATAGGATCCCAGTTATCGGGGATGCATCGAGAATAAGTAGTAAAAATCGGAGTGTCATACCCGATGGTGAGCATATATAATATGATGTCCTAAAATGTAATCTAATCATATTTAATGCAATATCAAGAGAGGGTCTTCGAGAGAGGTCGTCAAAAGAGGCCTTCGAGTGAGAAATTTGCGAGTGATTTGGGAGAGAGAACATTAGAGGCAGAGAGAATTAGGGTTACACAATTAGCAGATTTGAAATAAAATAGGATAACATGGTTTTTGTTTAGTGGAAGCGGGTATAATTAGAGTGTAAATTGTAGAAAATCGGGTTATTTTAACCCACGAGAAATCGGTCACTTTATCGGATTTACACTGATATATCAGGACAAATCAGACAAAAACGATATGCGATAAATTTTTGTAAAAATCATACGCCTATGGTCCAAACCCTATATATTGGCGATAAATTGATAAAATCGGCTTATTTTTAAAACAGTGGTGGTGAGATATCCTTTAAGAATTAGTCCCTTTATGTGGATTCCTAGGTTCATTGACTTTTTATTTTAGATTTTATAAAAACAAGTTTTGGTCCTGTTACGGTCGAAACCTAAAGCCTATATTAGAAGTATTCTAAACCGAACCCTCCGAGGGGGTTGAGAAATTTTTCCTTCCAATTTGTTCAGGAACATTTCTAATTGAGTGCTATGTGGCATTATCATTTAATGTAACC